GCGCCCGGGACCCTCCGCAGGGCCGGGAGTCCCTGCCCCCGCCTCCGAGCGCTTTCTCCTTCGCCTTTAATAATTTCCTTCCGCCGGAAACTTTAAGTAACTCAGCCGAGGCGCTCTCCTTTTGCCTCCGGGGGCAGTTGGTTTATTTACTTTTTTAAAAGCCCAAATCAGGGCGAAAAGACGCCGGGGACTGAGCGGGCGCGAAGGTGAAGAAAGGACGTGTGGTGGAAAACTGCGCCCAGAAAACTTCAGAGCGTCGGGTAAAGGCAGGTTGAGAAAATCCTCCTCCGTCCCCCCCCCCGACCCCAAGCCGGGTCCTTCTGAGCTTGAAGAAACGTGGAAGAAGCCAGCAACAAAGCCAGAAACAAACACCCGAGTGGTGCGGACCTGTCCGGCGCCGCCGGGCAGCCGCTCTGGGACCGCCCGCGGTCACTTCCCTTTGGGTGCCCACATCACATTCCAGAATCACTTCTTTGGAAAGAGCTGGTTTGAAGCCGTATTTTCAGCAGCGCTTGGCATCGATCCCTAGTGTTTAGTCCTTGGCAGAGCTGGTCTCCCAAGAAAACAATTTCCGAAAAAAAGCAGGGAAACGCTGGACCTATTCTGTTTGTCTCAAAGCAGTGCTAACTGGTCTGTCAAGGCTGAGGTACAGAAGCAGACGGAGAAGTGGTTCTAGGTTAGGATTGGATTGTTCTGGACCCAGGGGCTGTCTGGACTCCCTCTAAGCTCTTCTGGAACCCGGGGCCGGTTCGTGTTCTTGACTGTCTCCCCTCACTGTCCTTTGCTGTAACTCCCATTTGCACTAGGCAGTCGGGTTCATCTAGAATTCGGGGAATCGGGCAAAGGCCCTCCCTTCCCTGTGATCCTGGCACAAGCCCTCAAGCGTTCCTGCTGCCTCCTCGCTCAGCCAGGGCTGGGGTCTGGATAGGGTGCTGTTCTGGTCTTCCTCTGTGGACCTTTATCAGCGTCGCAGGGGTTTCGGTGTCTGCTGGACTCTAACGTAGTCCAGACTTAAATTCCAGGAATCCCACGTTTTCCCTGTGAAGAGTCATTTCAGCCTCAAGGAAGCCCTTCAAAGACTCAGAAGGAAGGTCAGATCCCAAGGAATCCAGGGGCACCTTTGACGTGTGTTGTGTGTCTGGGTTGGCCTGGGGAATAAATGAAGTTGGTAGTGATTCCCACCCCTAGCCCCCAATGTTTTCTCCTTTGTCCTTTACTCAGGTGGTGCAGGCCCTGCCCCATCGCATGAGCTGGTTTCCATTTCGCTGCTCAGGGATGAGTCTGTCTCCTTCTGCAAGGACCAGATCAGGTGGAAAGAGCCTTGCGCGGGGAGGTGGCAAACCCAGGTTCTTGTTCTTCCCCATTCCCTGGCTGTGCCATTTTGGACAAGTACTTTAGTCGCCTCTTATGTAAAATGGACATCGTAATGTTTTTTCCTTTTAAGGCAGAGGACTATAGCAGATAATCTCCTAAGATACTTTCTGCTATCCTGTGATTCCAGTTAGCAAGCCTGGGAGATGAGAAAGCTGAAAGGAATTCCTTTACTTCTTTCCCTTATCTCTAAAAATGGAACCCACTCCTGTCCCATTTTAGTGGCTTCCTGGAGACAGCACCTCCCCTCATTTGCTGGCCCCCTACAGTGGCTCGGCTGGTGGAGTTGAGCTTGGAAGGGGAGCACAGCGTCGAACCAGTGCAGGAAGGTGTTTCTGGGCATACGGACACCTTGAAGCTTCAGTCATTTCACACCGTATCTGTGGCCTTGTTTTGAGAGTGGTTCTAGGTTTCAGTCTTGTTTAGGCCAGAAAACATCTTATTTGAAAGATTGGAAGAGCCGGTGACCTTAATATCACACTGAGTCATATTTAGGTCCTCCCGGGTCTGGCTGGTCCTCTCCTGGGCGAGATGTGTGTGACATGCTCTGTTCTTAGCTGCTCATCCAAGCACGGCGATTCTCTGGGTGAGAGGGCGTTTGGGTGAGGCCAAAGCCGCTGTAACTGCTGGGTTTACTCTCTTGAGTGAAGAGAGAGCCCTGTGGGTCTGTGGCTGGAGGAGGCAGTCAGTGCCAAGTCCAGAATCCTCTCAAGGTTTTGACAGGAGCCCTGGCTGTCTCCTTTGTTTGTGTTTGTTTGTGATTTGAGAGGCCCATCCCTTCTGGGTTAAGTCTTGCACGCAGCTATCACTCAACTTCCTATTTTTTTGGCCCCTGCCACACCTTCCTGAAATCTCGGTTAGACCCGGACCCTAGCAGCCACACCCCGGAAAGAGCCACTTCCTGTTGGGCCCCTTGAAAAGGAGATAGGAATGCAGACCATTTAGCTGAAGTCTTGCTCACTCCTTAGAGAGGCTGAGGGGCAGGCCCTTTTGTGCCTGGTCGATTGTCTCTGTTGCTCAGCGATTGCCTGGGGACGTGTTTCCCATGTAAGGGGCATGATTGTCTCTGACGTGGGCAGAACAGCCTTCTGTCCCTCTGAGCTGCAGTGTCTGGCTCCCTGTGTGGGTGGAGGTGCCCGACAGGAGGGTCGTTCGCAGCAGGTGGCAGTTCCAGCAGGCCCCCTGACGTGGCCTCTACCTGTAGCGGTGCCTTTCCGCACCCTGTTAGGCATGTCTCAGCCTCTTTTGTTGGGGGAGCGCCCCCAGCCTGTGGAACACTCCCTGAATGCTTTGTGTGCTTGGAAACACCATGGACTCAAGCGCTTTGGGTTCATTCAGGTCACCTGTTAGAGATGCTCGGCTCTCCTTGTTTTCAGGGGTGGCCTTTGCTGTGTTTGTCTCGAGCCTTTGTCAGCGCCCTTTCCTGGGCTGAGCTGGGCTGTCGTGGAAGTACGCCGCGCAGGAGGGTGTTGACAGGGGTCCACACTGGACACTTAGGATCCACGAGTCTCATTCTTGCCAGTGAAGTGCCAATTGCCCTGCTTTTTGTAAAGCCCCGCTTATATTATGAAACATGTAGCTTAGAAAACAACTCTGTTAAAAACAGCAAAGTATGTTTTAAAAAAAGCTAACAAAAACAATATTGAGGCAGCAGCTGTTCCAGCCCCAGAGGTGGAAAGCTTCCCAGTGTGCATTTTTAACACACATCACCACGTGGCAAAGGGGGGGTGAGGGGGAGAGAAGGGGGACAGGAGAGGATCTTTCTTTTATTTTATTATTTCCTCTGGGTGTGTACACGTCAAGACTGCTTCCGGATGGGATCCCAGAGAGATTTATATTTGAACTTCGGTTGTCTTGACGACAGTTGAGTGATTTCTGCCGCTTCCTCAGCAGCGGAGCGGCTCGGGTGAAAGGCAGCAAGTAGTACGCGGCTCGGTGAAGTCGCTGCTCGTGGCCTTTGTTAGAGTCTGGATGGGGGCTTGTCTCACAGCAGCCGAACACCTGGAATTCGCTGTGACATCTGGGCAGTGGGGACGTCAGATGTGGACAGGGCCTTCAAAGCCAGGGCTGTGTGACCCCTGGGAGCGCTCACAGCCACGCAGCTCTGTCCAGGCTGTGGGCCCTGTCTTTAGCAAGGGTGAACGTGGGTTCCTGAATCTGTTTGTTTCTTAGTGGTTCCTCTATTAGATTGGAAGCCCTGTGGATGGTGTGGGTCAGCGTCAGGGATTCTGGGGTGTGAGTGAATAGCAGGGTGCAGTGGGGTGTCCCCGGCTGCGCCAGCATGGAGTGGCACTGAGCACCTGGGCCGGGCTGCTGGGACCCACCAGGCCCTCGTGGGCCTCAGCGTGGCCGCAGCCTGCAGTCTCTTGTGTGGCATCAGGACCACTCGTGGGCATTTTCAGACTCCTCATGGTCCCTCCCCACCCCTCGTCTGCAGCTCTCCCGCCCTTGGCCTCACCTCTGACCCGGCTCAGTGTCCCTGTTTCGGTGAGTGTTTTATCCCTCAGATCCACTCCAAGGACGTAGCCATTGGAAAATAGAAAACTGCATCTTAAGGTGCCAGGACGGGAAAAGGTTCCGAGCTCACGCATTAGAAGAGGTCCGGGTCCAGTTGCGTCCAGCAGGTTGGACTAATTTCAGTGCTCGTGTGCCTGCACACGTTACCCTTTCATTTGCTTTGGTTTTTATAATTTGTAATGTGTGTTTGAAAATGGGACAGGCTTCCTTCACTCAGTCATTCACCAATTACCGAGTGCTTCTTCCATGCCGGGAGCTGTAGGCGGCTGCGGGTGGACAGGACGGCCACCATCCCTGCCTTCAAAGCCCTCTGCCTTTCCCGGAAGAGGACATGATGACACGATGACCTAAATGACGTCACCTGTATTCCAGTGCCAGCACTCACCACGGAGCCATGCACAACAGAAGTGACAGAATGATGATAAATATTGGCTGTCATCCGTCTGTTATTAGATGTGAGGACAGGTGAGGGGCAGAGGGTTTTTGCTCAGGGTCTGTTTTGTGAACCTGCTGTGGATGAGGAGCTGTGTTAGCTCTGCAGGAGGTGGAAAGTAGGCAGGGCGGGATCTGGTCCCGGCTTGCGGCTCCTGGTTGGACTGGTGCACAGGTGCCAGCGTAAGTGGCCACGGCGATGGGGGGGATGCTGCAGGGGTCACGTGGTGCAGGGGAGGCCCGGAAGTTACGCTGAAGACAGTGAGGGCTGGGAGCCGAGCTGCCCAGAAGGTCTCTCAGAGTGGGAGGGATCTGCACAGGGCCTTGGAGGTCTGTGAGAGCTTTGATGGGAAAGGAAAGGTGGGCGTGGACCCCAGGCATGCCCTGAATCTCGCGGTTATTTTCTGGAAGGTTGAGGTGGTTGGAGGATGCAGGAAGGTAAAGAACGTCGCCTCCCACCCCAGGCTGATGGCTATCCCGTTGACCCCGTTGTCTCTAGCAGGGGGTCTTTTATTTTAACTCCCTTTCCTGTTTTATTTGGGAAAATACCAAGCTTACAGAACAGTTGAAAGAGCAGTACAACGAATGTCCGCGGAGTCAGTAGGGATAACTCCTTGCCTCTCTCGCCTCTCTGTCTCTCATGCATGCAAACAGTACAGAATTTTTTTCCTGAACCACTCTGAAAGTCAACTGCTGACCCTATGACACTCCACCCCTGCAGACTGCAGTTGTATCTTTGAGGGAAAAGGACGTTCTCCTGCGCACCTGTAAAGCCATCATCTCACCCCCAGTGTTGAACACAGCCAGGGAGTCGAGCATGGGGTTCGCACCCAGGGTGCAGGCAGAGGTCGTGTGTCATATTTGCTGCTCCGTCTCTCATCTAAAACAGTTGCTCTCTTTCTCTTTTTCTCCCCACCACAACATCGGTGTTTTGAAGAAT